CTCATAAATTCAAGTTCATTTCTGCTCAGACTTAGAAATAAGTTTAATTTTGGAAGTGAAACAAGGCAGTTATTGCCTCGAGGCGGGGAAAATATGTATGGTTAGCAGGTAAGGTGATTATGAGGGACTCTCTGGGTTTGACCCAAAATGGCGATAGGTTGTCCATGGCATGCAACCAGAAAATGAAGGCAGCAGCATGTCCTACAAACTGTGTAAACAATGGGAATTAGAGTAAACACAGAGGAAAACTGTAGTTTGAAGAGCACAAACATTTTCAGTTAATTTATTTAATTCAAACCAGCTCAAAAACTGTGGGCATCTGTCATGCTTAAAGGGTTCGTTAGACCCCAGAGCGTCAGTGGAAAGACTACTACCAGGAAGTCCTTCCCATTTGTTGCTTACTGTCGTTTGGGGGATATAGACCCAAAAATAGAAGGATGATATAAGTACTAGCATTTTGTATTTCAAAATGATATATTTTGAAGTCGTTGCAAAAGATTAAATTCATTTCACAATTCTGGGAGAGGCATTGAGGTGTGAGGGGAAGTAGTTAGAGTTAGCCCCTTCTGTGGTTGGTGGTTTTACACGGGGGATCTTTTTGTGAGGTTGTAAAGTATCTGGACAGTGACAGAGGCCAAGTGAGGGACACGGGCTTTGGAAATGTGAAAAGATGAACGGGAAATAACCTTTCACAAGCAGTGCAGACATACTTGAATAATTGGGAATGCAGTGAAGATACCACAGCATTTCTAACTCGGATGACTGAGAGGGCAAAGGCGCTGTTACCACTTGTTACTCTCCCTGCTTGCTTTGTGGGAGACAAGGTGGTTCCTGATGCTGGGGCGGCTTGTGGACTTTTTCATTTTCTCAGTGTGTGGGAAGTTTGCCTTTGTTTTTGTTTTTCAGTTGAATCAGGGAATTGGAAATGCTCCTGTTTTCAGTACTAGATTGTTTTTTTAAGATTCTATTTTTATTTTATTTGACAGAGAGAGAGACAGCGAGAGAGGCAACACAAGCAGGGGGAGTGGGAGAGGGAGAAATAGGCTTCCAGCTGAGCAGGAGCCCAATATAGGGCTTGATCCCAGGACTCTGGGATCATGACCCGAGCCGAAGGCAGTCGCTTGATGACTGAGCCACCCAGGCGCCCCCAGTGTTAGATTGTTAAGCGCTGAGATAAAAATTATTTCTAGTTTCAATGGATTTGGCCAGTAGAATTAAATATAAAAGGAGGCTCTTTCTAAAAAAAAAAAAAAAATCCTAAGAGGATAAAAAGCTTTTCATATTGTGATCACTACAATGATTTTAACCCGTATTCTAACAGTGAGGAGGAACATTGAGGGGTCAAAATTTCTTTTATGTGTTGTTTATCAAAATGAAGAAAAGGTGGTCATTAAAAGGACAAAAGATGGGGCAGTGGAGTCTGTTAAAAAAAAACGGTGTATTAAGAGAAAAGCAGAATTCTCCTCTATGAAGAGGCAGTGACTTGGGTTTTCTACCTCTCTTCCCAACTCTCCCTTGTGTCTTTATGTGGAAACAAGAGTCCTATACATTTATAAAGTACAAGGAGATATTTGATTTTGGAATAAGGGCAATATAGAATGTATTTCCCAGTATTAGTGTTAATTATGCATTTGATATGATCTGGTAGTGTTCTCATTTTACAGTAGTTTCAAAGTGGAACAAGAGCCTACCTGCTAGCTACACGTGAAGCTCCAAAGTTCATGTTGTAGAGAAACTTACAGTTTTACTGATAAAACCAAATGAATCCAAGAAAGTGTTCAGTGGGGAGGGTGGGAGGAAGTTTCCAAGCAGGAAGAAAGGAAAAAAGTAGTCATCACAGTATCATCAGATACTTATTACATATCTATAATTATCTTCAAGTTATATGTTAACTTGTTTCTTATCTGACTTTTCTACTATAACGTAGTCTCCAGGAGGATGGAGATTTTTGTCTCTTTTATTCAGTGCTATGTGCCAAGTAGAAGTTGCTCAATAAATAAGAATAAGAAATGAATAGGTGGCTCGGGTACCTGGGTGGCTCAGTCGGTTAAGAGTCAGACTCTTGATTTCGGCTCAGGTCATGATCTTAGAGTCATGAGATTGAGTTCTACATCCGGCTCTGTGCTCAGCGGAGTGTCTGCTTGAGATTCTCTCTCTCGCTCTTCCTCTGCCCCTCCCCTCCATGTTCTTTCTCTCTCTCAAATAATTAAATCTTAAAAAAAAAAAAAAGAAAGAAAAGAAATGAAACGGGGGTGCCTGGCTGGCTCAGTCGGTGGAACATGAGACTTGATCTTGAGTTGTGAGTTCAAGCCCCATATTGGGTGTGGAGCTTACTTAAAAACAAAAAAAAAATTAAAAAGGAATAGGTGAATGAATTTTGCATCTGCTTTGGTTATAACACTCGTCAAAAAGATTAAGAGCAATTAACTATATAATGTAAGTCACTAACCCTAGGAGTTTATAATTTAATGTGGTTAATGTAGATGCACATCTCATAATGTTTTACAGGAAAAAAAAAATCAGTGACAAAGCATAGGTAAAAAATAATGCTTTTAATTATATATATATTTTTTGTCCGTATGATTATGAGGTGATGTGGTATCATTTAAGGCTGTGGAAAAAGACAAATGAGAAAAAATGAACAGTAGAACAGCTGAAGTGACATTGGCAGAAGGGGAGATGGTTGAGTAGGTAAAAGTGTATTTATGGAGGAGTTTCTGTCCATCAAGAAGGGGGTAAAGTGGAGTGAAAGTTTTCTTACATTTTAGCTCACCTTTCGTCAGGGTACCAGCATAAGTAGCAATTGCTTATGTTTTGGGATTCAAATACTTACATGTATAAAAAGTTATTTTGGGAAATGCTTCAAACATACAGAAAAGTCAAGATAAAAATATTACAAGTACATAGATACTCAACCCCCATATGGAAAGCAAATGTAATGAACACCCAAGTACTTTCCACCCATTTTTAACAAATGTTTTAATTTTACTTTTTTCACATTTTTAAACAGAAATATAACATGTTAGTTGACAATCTCTTTAACCTTCTCTAAACAAAAGTTTGCTTTCCATGAGATTGCAAAATAAGCCCTTTTATACCAGTGCATGAGTTTAAATGATTCAGTGTGCTTTTTTACTTTAAAACCATTTTAATGATTAAGAAAATAGTTCAATAAAGTTTCTTACTAAAAAAGCTTAACAGTATAACCTATTAAATGACAAAAGTTTTTAAGAGTTTAGGAAAGGTTATTTCGATTTCTTTTCAAAAGGAAATTGTTTGCAAATAAGGAGCATGTTTTTTGCCAGCCTAACACTTCATACTTTTGTACTGTGGAAAACTTTTCTGGTACCTCTGTTCCACATATTTAGTTTTTCACCATTAGACTTCTGTACCTAGAACCTCAGGGCTAAACTGGTAACATTGGTTATTTTGGGTGGAGAAGATTGCATCATATAGAATTTGACGTTCTAAATTACTTCAGAAATATTTAAAATTTTGTATAATCATATATTATTTTGGAATTGAAAAAGGTAAATGTTAAACATAGGTATTTTTATTTATTTTTTATTATTTATTTTTATATTTTTTAATTTAAATTCAGTTAGCCAACATATGGTACATCATTAGTTTTTGATGTAGTGTTCAAGTGCTCATCCCATCACGTGCCCTCCTTAATGCCCATCACCCAGTTATCCCATCCTCCTACCCATCTCCCTTTCTACAACCCTCAGTTTGTTTCCCAGGGTCGAGTCTCTCATGGTTTGTCTCCTTATCTGATTTCTTCCCATTCAGTTTTCCCTCCTTTCCCCTATGATCCTCTGTGCTATTCTTGTGGATTCCTATTCCACATATCATATGGACATATCATATGGACAGTTGTCCGTATCATATGGACAGTTAACCATATGATAATTGTCTTTGATTGACTTATGCTAAACAAAGGTGCTTTTAAATTAAGTTCTAAATAAGTATCAAATTCAGCATCTCCTTTTTATAATTGATGCAATATGAAATGAGCAAATGCACTTACTCCTATACCTGTGTTTATAGATGTGATGTATATCTCACATCTGTACATATCTCCCCAGTTGCATAAGTGTATCGCTTACTTATACTGCTCTTTCTAGTATATTCATAAAATTATGAGGAAAAAATATTTCCTTTGTTAAATCATGCTATTATTTATGATAATTTGAAGAGATGCCATTGTTTTTTTCTTTATTTTCTTAACAGAGAATGTTCTCTTTCTAACCCATTGTGGTTGACATTTTTTGTTTTCACACATTTGATTATGTTGCCTCAGAGGGGAAAGTAATGCTCTGCTAATTTAAGAAATTAGCAGTGTGTTAATAATTTGACAGGCATACACTGGGTTGTGTAACTAAAAATTGTATATGAGCCATCAATAGAGAAAATATCTAATGTAAGTAATTTGTGGAATCTAATATGATATAATTCATCTTTTTATGAAACAGTGTTTCCTATTTCTAAGGGTACAAACTTTCAGTAAATCAGGGGCAAAGAATAACAAAATTAGGGACGCCTGGGTGGCTCAGTTGGTTAAGTGGCTGCCTTTGGCTCAGGTCATGATCTCGGGGTCCTGAGATCAAGCCCCACTTTGGGCTCCCTGCTCAGTAGGGAGTCTGCTTTTCCCTCTCCCTCTGCTGCTCCCCCTGCTTGTGCTCTCTCACTCTCCCTCTCTCTCAAATAAATACATCTTTAAAAAAAAAAATAACATTAGGAAAAAATACAACTTTGTTTATTTTTTTAATTTTCCTTAAAATATAGAGTGCTTAATTCTCTGAGGTTCATTAATTATATTTCAGTGTAATTAACATTATAATATTTTAATATAAATTAAGTAAAATTATTTGGGATCTATCTATTATGTTTCAAATGAGGAGCCCCATAGCTTCAAATGGTACCATGCCTTTTTAAAATTACGTTTTTGTGTTTTTACATTGTTACTGTCTCTGACCATTATTTCATATTATTTCTAGATAAAAGAGTGGCTCTGTTTAAACTGTCAGATGAGGAGAGCTCTAGGAGGTGATCTGGCTCCAGTCCCATCATCCCCTCAGCCCAAACCGAAGACTGCCCCCGTTACTCCTGCATCCGCAGTGAGCAAACCATCCCCGCAGCCACAGCCGACTTCTCCAAAGAAGGATACTGTACCCAAACAGGATATCTCAAAGGCCCCCGAGTCTAAGAAGCCCCCACCACTAGTGAAACAACCAACCATTCACGGATCTCCCCCACTGGCAGCCAAGCAGCCTCCTGTGGCCGAGTCCTCATCCAAGCCTGCCCCTCCCAAAGAGCCTTCGGTCCCGTCTGAGCAGGCCAAGGTCCCCATGGCTGAGGATAAACCAAAGCAACCCAAGACGGTGAAACCAGCCACAGACATTGTGTCTTCGTCGTCGATAGCAGCAAAACCTGATATTCCAAGCTCCAAAGTACAGTCAGAGGATCAAGAGAGAATAGCCCCTCCTCTGAAAACAGATGCTGCCAAACCCTCACAGAGTTTTCCACCAACAGGAGAAAAAGTCACCCCCGTCGATTCTAAAGTCATACCCCGACCTGCATCAGATTCCAAAATTATTTCACATCCTGGGCCTAGTTCAGAGAGCAAAGGTCAAAAGCAAGTTGATCCAGTTCAAAAGAGGGAAGAACCCAAGAAAGCACAAACCAAAATGACTCCTAAGCCAGATGCCAAGGCAATGCCAAAGGGGTCACCTCCGCCCCCAGGCCCACGACCTACCACTGGCCAAACTGCCCCCACATCTCAGCAGCCCCCAAAGCCTCAGGAGCAGTCAAGACGCTTCAGTCTGAATCTGGGAAGTATTACTGATGCCCCCAAATCACAGCCCACGACGCCTCAAGAAACTGTGACTGGAAAACTCTTTGGGTTTGGAGCATCGATCTTCAGCCAGGCATCAAATTTAATCTCCACAGCAGGCCAGCCTGGGTCTCAGTCTCAGAGTGGGCCTGGGGCCCCAACGAAACAAGGCCCTCCTCCGCCACAGCCACCTCCTCAGGGACCACCCAAATCCACGGGTCAGGTGCCAGCAGCACCTGCAAAGGTTATCCCTGTGAAAAAAGAAACAAAAGCTCCAGGGGCTGAAAAATTAGAGCCCAAAGCTGAAGGAGTTCCAACCGTAAAAAGAACAGAAACAGAAAAGAAGCCTCTGCCTGTTAAGGATAGCAAAGCTTCAGCAGCGGAGCCTCAGAAGGCTGTCATTCCCCCCAAGTTGGAGAAAACCCCCAAACCAGAATCGACCTGTCGTCTCTGCAAAACTGAACTCAACGTAGGTTCTCAGGATCCTCCTAACTTCAGTACTTGCACTGAATGCAAGAATCAAGTGTGTAATCTCTGTGGATTTAACCCTACACCGCACTTGACTGAGGTAAGCGATTTATATCTTACTTATGGATGTGAGTAAATCATGTTTATTCTGAAGTATTTTGGTAGCCGAAATTCTGAGCAAAAAAATCCCCCAAAACACACAAAAAACCATTTCTAGTAAAGAAGGCTTATCAATATTGATGGCATAGTTTCAATTACTTATTACAGGCTTAATTTCTTTTTAAAAGTTCATGTAATTATATTTTTCTGGGTTATGCACCAGAATTAAGAAGATGAAATAAGCTGACAGTTTAAAGTAACAATTATCCCAATCCTTTGTGAATTAAAGACCTGTAGCTTTGGAGTACTACGTGGTTTTCACTTACCAACGGCAAGTAGGAGTTGTAATTTACCGTTCCCATGGTCTTCAATCCTTCCTGCCTCCACTACCTTAGAGAAAGTGTTAGTTGCTTACAGATCCATAAATAACATGAGATCGGTTATTTTACAAAAATTGTTAAGAACTTAGTGCAAGTTAATAATATTGCCTACTAGAAAATAGTGGTTCAGACTTATCAGGCCTAGACTTCTTATAATTCTCTTTGAGCTATTGTCTGCCATAAATAGAATACTTTAATAAGAAATGTGCAAAGAAAACAAAAAACAAAAACAGATACATGGGTTTCAGTGACTGATGTCAAGGAACTGTGTTTTAAAAAAACTTTTTTAATGGGATGATGAGACATTTTCCCCACAATGTAAATGACCAAAATTCAGATAGGCAAATTTCTACCTAACAGAGATATTAAAGGATGAATGTAAACATTAGTAATGTGTTAGGGCTGTTAGAATATTTAGATCTTGGGAAACTGAGGGGTTAAATGATTGGTGCTTTCTTAGAGGTTTAATAAACATTTTGGAATTGAATTTTAAATAATTGTTCATTGTTTTTACACAAATCAGAAATACTTAAGGATTATTTTATTCCATTCTCTTTGATTTTGTAATTCATTGGAATGGAAAAATTGAACGGACTTTAGCAATTATACAGAAGAAGCTTTAGAGATTCTTGGGGTGTTTTCGACTTAATTTTTTTTTGAAGAATAGACTGTATACATTTTTTATTTTTTACTTCTAAAAGACATTAGGTTGCTTTGACATAATTAGCATCGTGAAAGTATTGTTTCTACAGACTTAACCGATTTTTATCCTCTTTATCTGTGATGAATAGAGTTAACTGAGATCCATTTTAAAGGCAGATAAAATTTGGTTTCCCTCAGCACTTCATGAGGGGTAACCACTATAATTATTACTTACAGTGGTTTGGATTCAATACAAAAGCAAAACAAAAAGCAAACCTTAAATTTCTCCCATATATTTAGAAGAGTTGTTTTTGGTTGTGTATTCATGAAGCAGAAAATTTGGGTTTTACCAATACAATTGTATTTATTTCGTAGACTTAAAAAATTGTACCCTTTAATGAGGAGCTGATGGTGTCAACACAGTACCGTTTAAGAGTTATAAAACTGCATCACTAAAAACAAAACCTAATGTCTACATTTAAAATGTATTTTGGGGGCGCCTGGGTGGCTCATTCGTTAAGCATCTGCCTTCAGCTCAGGTCATGATCCCAGGGTCCTCGGATCGAGCCCCGCATCGAGCTCCCTGCTCCGCAGGAAGCCTGCTTCTCCCTCTCCCACTCCCCCTGCTCATGGTCCTTCTCTCGCTGTGTCTCTCTGTCAAATAAATAAATAAAATCTTTAAAAAAAAAATAAATAAAATGTATTTTGGGCACACTAAAAAAAAAGTGTAGAGTTGAGGGAGGATTGTGTGTGTGTGTGTGTGTGTGTGTACATATGTATATGTATATATTTGGACCATAGTGATTACGAGAATCCACTCAGTGTTTGGAGGTATGAAATGAGAGCCCTTGGGTAGAAAGACAATGAAGTTTTCAGGAAAATCTTTGGTTTTCTTTGTGTTGGTAAATTTTATTTTTTTGTCGGGGGTCCTAATTTGGAAAGGAGATTTCTTGAATAAAGCACAGAATTACCTAGGCCATGTGTGAAATTTCAGTAGTTTGAAAATATAAGTGGTCTCAAGTATTCAGGTGGTTTAGGTGAAATCCTATTTTAAATATGATCACTGGGATCTCTGTTACTGTTCAGAGTATTTTGCTGTGTGGTAATTTATTTGAATTTGGAAGATGTTTCAGAGAAGAAAAAAAAAATTGATGTAACAAAAGAAGTTGGCTAATGTTCCTGGTGTAACTTAACTGTGCTAATCCATGTGAAGTTTTCAGTTAGTAGAAGACCTTAGTGCCCTCCAGCCTATAGGTAAAGTCGTTGGCTGACCTGGTATCAAAGGAGTGAATGATGTTGGTTGAGTGATTCGGTGTTCAAATATTCCTCTTATTATTACCCCAAAGGACTTGGGAGGAGTGGCAGAAGGAGTTAGTTGAAAAGAAAGGCACATTGTGTTTGTATGTGTGTGTGTGCATACATACACATACATTTCTAGAAAATTTTAAATACGATTTATAGGCTTAACTTGTGGTGCTCTGTCAGAGTTATTACTACTAATCTCTCCTCATTTCCTTCAGTCAGGAGCGATTAGGGAAGCATCTTCTCCCTGACCTTTGCTTCATTTCTATGCTTTCTCCATTCTGCTTGTGATATTTATTTCTTGTTAACCTCATATTTTCTGCTCTTTCCTTCTAGGTTTAGGGGGCACGTTCTGAAAATACTCAGACTTTATACCTGCAATGCAAAGAAGTGGTATTTCTAAGAAAGGAATCAACTATTTCCATTTATTATTCTAATAAAGCACATTTAACTTTATATTATAAGCCTCTGCTTCTACTCTACCTCATCACTGTGAGACAGGTCTTCTTTTCCAGTGGGTACCACTCTGCCTTCCCCTTTTGCTGTTCTGTTCCTCTGGTGGCGAGAAGAGCTGGTTACAGTTAGTCATGGGTTAGGGAGCTATAGAGAGTACCCCCCCAGTAATCAACCACACCTGTCTCTTTGGTGGCTTCCTGTTTCTCATACACAGCATCCCCCACAACACCTGAGCTGTGCCAAGGGCTGCCTGTGGGGCCCTGGAGTGTAGCCAGGCTTCAACCTAAGCTTCAAGGTTTAACTGTGTGATGCCAAGTTCGTATAAATGGCACCGTGATCCAGTAGCCTCTGATAGCAAGGAAGAAGTCTCTTAGGCTTTAACTTTTGCCAACTCAGGGAATGTCTTATCTTAGAAAGAGTTTTAAAAGCAGCAGCAGGGCTTTCTGAAAGAGCTGATCTTAGAGAATTTGGAAGCATCCTGAGAAAAACAGCCTAAGTTGACAATCAGTTTACCTAGTGAATTTAGTAATTCTGGTTCAGTTCAAATTCAAAAAGGACTCAAAATTACTCATAATGGGTGATGATGTTATTGTTTTTACTGTACCTTTCAAAAGTAATTTTTTACTATGGGAATAAAACTTAAAACCACGTTTCCTCATGTTTCAGGAAGTTCCAGGGTCATAATTTTGCTTCCTTAGTAAGATAATTATGCAGGGCCTGAGTGATACAGGAATAGCTAGCATATATTTGTCACTAGGCAACAGATGGGCCTTTTGAGCCAATTAAGACCCAGTGGTGTAACCGGGATCCCTTCAGATCTTCACTCTCTAGCTGGGGTGGCTTCTGCCTTCTCTATCACACACTCAAGGAAAGCCTCGTGGGCATGTGCTGGATTTCTTAGTTTGGCAAACACATATCTTGCTTTTACTTGAAAAATCATTACTTAATACTTTAAAAATCATATGCCCAATACCTTTAAAAAGCAATTAAGTACGTACACACAGAAAATTAAAAACCAAAAGAATGATAAAAAATCAGTAAGTAGAAAACAATTCTTCCAGTAATTATTTTCAAAAGAATTATGTCATGGAGAAATGCATTCTGTGTGAATATTTCTGACGTGCATGGCAGAGAGGGACACTGATAGCACTTTTTAGCTTGCGTGAGAAAGTTGACAAGTTCATGGGTTGAAACAAAATTTTTATTTCTTAATTTTTAGGAGAATTTTGATATGTTGCTTTTTTATTAAGTGATACTTAGTCAGAAAATCCAAATGTGGGTTTATTTATTTATTTTTTTAGTAATTAATTTTTTTTATTATGTCATATTAATCCCCATACATTACATCATTAGTTTT